TGTTCGTTGTATGGTTTTTGCCGGCCTCATATTCGTCACGGGTCACTGAAAACCTTCGGCTTGGCCGTCTGTGTTTTGGGCGGCACTTACAAACCATCGTATCAGTTGTCCGGTTTGAAAATGTTGGAGCTCGATTGATTGATTGTTTTGGCACCTTTATGTGGACAGTGTCTGAAAGATGTGTGAAAATTCCTGCCTTCCGTGTACCTTGAGTTTTATTTGTTAAATAAATTTTGAATACAAAAAAACACATGGTGTATAAAATAGAATGAGTGCAAAAATAGTTACTAAAGTTGTTTTTATCAAATAAGTCAACATGAATTTTGCTTTAATATCTACTCAACCCTGTTCACTCGAGACCATGGTGCTGCCTTAAAACGTCGAGTATCATAATTACGTATCCCAATGGTTGCTTGAACTCTTGGCCTAACCACCACCTGCTCGTAAACCGGAGGTCGGCTATTTTTAGCATAAAAAGACTCATGACGCTGCTAGCACCGTGGCAGCTGAGACGAACAGCACTGACCACATCTCCGCCAACAGCAGTTCTTACAGCTGACTGGTCTTACGTTTGTGGTCATGTCTCCTGACTGTTGTGGGCTGCCTTGACAACTCGCCGGACACACCTGGGGGGGGGGGGGGGGGGGGCACATCGGCCCAGCGAGCGAGGACCGCTCTGGGGACCGACCCTACCTGCCAGCCCATCATCTCCCAGCGGTGGCGAATACGTCTGCGTTTGATCGGTGCCTTCCAACCGGCGGAGGCACGGCGCGGGAGCTTGCCGCCGGCCGCCGAGACGCGGCCAGCTGAGCACGGCCGGCCCGTTCGGCGCTGGCTGGAGGCAGTCAGCCGTGATGGCGCGGCGCCACGTCAATGGGCAGATCCCGCGTGGACGGACTGCTGGCCGGCCATGGCGCCGTACAAACGCCGGGCACTGAGGCGGCGGCCGAGCAGTCGTGGGCAGCCGACCGACGCGCGGGGACAATCCGGCAAACACGGCCGGGCGGAGCAATACGCCGAGCGTGTTGCCCACGCCGAGCAAATAAGTCACGCTCCGGTGGTTTGCATAGTGCGGTAATAGCCTTCGATTAGTTTACGTCGCACGTCATTGCCACGGCCACTGCTGTCGCTAGGTGGGGCCTGTTTCTGGCGAAGAAAACGGAGGCGCGGGGGACGATGGTGTTTGAGCCCGCTTCCCGTCGGCTATCAACCCCGTGTTTGACTCTGTCTGCCACCTGCAAATTCACATCACACCACTTGTCGACTTTTCTGACCTGGCATGTCGTTTGAGACAACACATTACTATTTTTGTCCTTGAGGTTTTGTGGAACGCATTACACTCTCTGAGTAAATTGAATTAAGGTCGAGATAACTTACAACAATCCGGTGCAACAGGCAAACTCTCCACGCGACACAATGGATAATACAGTGTTAACTCGTTGCGGACGGCAATTGCCTATTGAAATCAGGTAACGTTTATTTCCCTGTGATGAACAGCTTCATTTCGAGATGCCCGTTCAATAAAATTCAGGCATGGCAGCCTGATGCATCTCGATTGCATCTAGCACACTCCTGTTTCCTTTCAGTCTACCCGGTTCCAAAAAGCATCGACACAGGGTTTGATATGATCTTCAAAGGCCTCATTTCCAAGATGAGTGACACGTGAGATTGCATCGCAGTCTGAATGTACATATCGATATGTCTCGAAAAGCATATCACAAGGCATCTGAGTAGCCTGTTCTTGTCTGATGCGTGGCTCCGGGCCGGCAGCCCAAGACTCCCGCTGGGCCCAGCCACGGCGTGATACAGTCACCTAGGACAGAGCTGTGTCGGGAACGGCGCAACATCACAGCACAAGCCGGTACAGACGAGATGCACTGCTAGTCATTGGCAGCATACCGGCCCGTCTCTTGCTGAACTGGCCACCCTGCCCTTCTCGTAAAATGGCCAGATGCAGCTGTCTGTTACGCTCAGGACAAGGACATTTCGGGCGGAGCCGTCCTTCGAATGAGCCCTGACGTCCAGCAGAAAAGTCGCCCCTTGGATGACAGCACCTGCTTTTCACATTTACCCCCAGGTTGCAGTGGATGAATGGTGCAATCTACCGCGACACACTGGCAACAATCGGTCACTGGCTGTTAATCACTGTATCCACTCACAAAGGAGCCCTCGAAAGCCCGCAGGCGGCCTACGCACCTGCCCATTTATCACCAGATCGTAAAACAGCCAACGGCCGCTTCTAAAGGAGACGGCCGGCTCGGCTACAACGGCGCGCGTGTTTTTCATTGGGCGGCGATTAGTGCGCAATGAATCCCACTGACGAATCTATTACGGGCGCCGCTGGAGCCGTGGGACAACCGTTCGTCGCCTCGGTCGGGCGGTGGCCAAGGTTCAGACGTGCCACGGCTGGGCGTGCCACGGTAGGGCATGTCACGGCCAGCCGTGCCACGACCGGGCGTGCCAGGATAGGACGTGACGTGGCTGGGCATGCCACAGTCGGGCGGTGCCACGGTCGGACGTGCCACGGCTGGGCGTGCCACGGTAGGGCGTGCCACGGCCAGCTGTGGCACGACTGGGGCGTACCAGGGTAGGGGCGTGCTGCGGCTGGGCATGCCACGGTCGTGCGTGCTACGGTCGGACGTGCCACGGTCGGACGCGCCACGGCTGGGCGTGCCACGGCTGGGTGTGCCACGGCTGGGCGTGCCACGGCTGGGTGTGCCACGGCTGGGCGTGCCACGGCTGGATGTGCAGCGGTCGTGCGTGCCACAGTCGGGCGTGTCGGGATGAGTCGGTCGGGCGTCCCTGTAAACGTGCGCTGCTCGGGGCACGCCCGCCACACTCGACGCTATGCTGTCTGAATGAGGTACGATTACACGTCGCCACCGACGCGGCCCACGACCGGCCGGGCCACCTATTTTTCGTATTCCAAGGTTGGTTCGGCCTGCAGTAGGCGTTACAGCGGAGCGTTCTAATGAACTCCCTGCTGAAATGGCGTGCTCTACTTCGTCCCTGCATACGTTTTCCTTGTTTCTGTTTTCCCGCGCTACACACCCTCGTACTCTTTAATGATGCGTGAAACGCGTTATAATACGGCTGATTGCTTACCTCACAGGCGGGCTTTACGAGCGAAAATTAAGTTAATGGTTGTGAAAACAAGCTTTTCTCATAACTGAAACGACACAGTGTTGCAATAATTTTTCCAGTGTAGTTAAAATGGATGGGTATATTTTCAACAGCAGTCACTCCAGTTGCCGTCTAAGGCTAAGTAAGCACCGTGTTTACGCAAAAGCAATCCACGCGTTGAGCGATAAGAATGATCCACAGTCTCATGAATGCCTCCTCCAATTTGTTGCTTTAGAAAAAGTCATCAGCAGAACCCAATGTCTGCAAACTGTTTCTGATGCCTTGCGATAGGTCTCATACAAGCGTCATTTTTCACAATGTCTAATTACAGCAAATGTAACACGCTCCATTCTTTACCTTGTTTAGGGAAATTATCCATACTGGATTACATTAACGCAAAAGAACAACTGTCAACGTTAAGTCGTAAATCTCGGAGAGCAGCACAAATCACAACTAAGTCACTACTCCTGCTGCAGTTTTGTAACGCTACACACGAGTGATACTTGTGGTTGTCACTTTGAACATACAGCTGGGAGTGGGTGAAGCTTGTTCCCAATTGGTTACTGTTAAGCACATCCCTGTATCATGCTGCACGCCGTTACATTGTATTTTATTTTCCTCTTCAGCAGCCTACCATAAAAGACGACACAAATGACAAGATCGCTCTCGCAATACGTATATTAAAGTAATACCCGGCGCGTTTACTGGCTACATGATTGATAAGACATTCGCTTCGAGTTTTTCGGCGCAATGACAGTTGAAGCTTAAAATACACTTAAATGCTTTTTTCACATCAAAATCTATTAACATTGGTCCCGAAGAAGGTTTGAGTATCCATCGGCAAACATGGCCTGTCATCGTTATGATACAACTCACATTCAACAATGTAACAAACTAATAATACACAATTCATAGCATGATATCAGCTTTGTCCGGCTGGCGTTTTTTAATTGGTGAGTATTACTTAACATGAACGAAATACCGTCGCAAAGCGATCTTGGTCCTTTTGGTGTGAGGTGCGAAAGTTTGATCTACACGATTATTGCTTCCCCGCTGAATGGCGAATTTCACATAGGTATGGCAAATTCTAACCGTGTGATATTGGATTCTGAGCGCGCCCCCGCGCGCGCGCGCGCGCGCACACACGCACACGCACACGCACACACACACACACACACACACACACACACACACACACACACACACACACACACACACACACACACACACACACACACACCACACACACACACACACACACACACACACATACACACACACATGCGCGTGCGCGCATCGCGCTCCTGCACGCGGTCTTTGGGTGTCTTTCAACAATCAACGTAAAAAAAAAAACGATCAGCGTCATCTAAAGAATCAGCAGCAGCTGCTGCAGCATATGTGAGAATGAAAGTTGAGGGCTTCATCATGTCTTGGATGTTTTATTGTTTTGACGTTTTTGTATGACCTTGGCTATGCTTGCTGGCTCAAATGATAAACACAATACCCATTAATTTTGATGTCCTGCTCCACCCAGCATCATATCAGGTCAGTCAGATCGTGCGCAAAAAGGAACAACCAACCGCATACCTGATTCAATAAACGAACACGTTATCAGTGACGCCCATTGCAATGCATGCCTCTCCTGCGTTCCGTGGATGTTTTCGGCTTGTACCAGCCGTGACAAAGGTGCTCATGAGACAACAAAAAGGCAGACGATTAACCGCCTCAGCACAGCTGGCTCCTAGCCAGGCAGCTGTGGGGCCAGAGAGCGTGTCCCCGTCAGGGGTCAGGTCACCCTGGCGGTGGAGCGTGTGGGAGGAGTAGGTCAGCGGCACGCCCCCGCAGGACACCGGCCGCCTCACGCTGCCAACACTGACCTCTTAGCGTGGCCAGCAGCCCCAGCGCCGTCCGGCCGAGCGCGGCCATGCTGCGGTCCTCCGGGTCAGCACGCGCAGCTGTCAGCCCGCACCACAGAAGTCCACACGGCACCACCGCCGTCGCCCGACTGCCGGGTCGGCGGAGAGACGACCGACCGGTGGCCCCGCCCCCGACCGCCGGCACTGCGCGCGGGGACCGCCGAGCCGAGGACCCCTCCGCTCCTGTGGAGCAGGCTCGCAGGAGGGGAGCGTGGGGAACGGGCAGTCCGCGCTGAGTGTATTCACCATTACTCCAATCTAGTGCAGCACACAGTGCAGCGGTCAGCGTTCTGGTCTGTGGTCCATAAAACAGGTACTGTCAGCTCTTGAGCGTTGTGTGCGGGTGGCTCTCAGTGCGTCAGTCGTTGTGTGGGGCTACGGTCTGCGCTGATCATGTGACTGTCGTCTAAACTGGAAGCTTTGTCCCAAAAATTGGATCTCGTTACACGCCTAAGTATTGCAATCCACATGTGTTTATAGCAACTTCACAGATTATATACTTGCAGGCATGCCGGAGTTACCACGTGCTTGTTAGTCAGATATTATGCTTTGAGCGCAATCAAGATATTATAAGGCAAATTAGGTTGCAGCTGTTCCTACTGCTATGGCTAAAGCTGAGAGAAGTCAACAGTTTCCGTCGTGCGGTTTCGTTTGGGCTGTTATCAACAGCACTTCGTCAGCGCGGCTACTGATATCAGTCCTGACGACGCCGCACGGCGAAATAGATCGAGTCGTTCCCTTCGCCTGATTTCCACTGATATTAGTACAGACTGCCTATTTACCCCATGCTTATCACGCGACATTGAATTCATAACGCGAATGTCTAGAATGACCAGGAATATGTGAGAGGAGCTGATGAATATCAAAAGTGTTCCATCTGCAGCTGTCGACAGAAACACCGAGAGAATGCATGCAAATGCACCAGGCATAGCCACGCCATGGTGCCTGCAACCCCCAAGCGAGCTTGGATAGTGGCACGCCTCTATCTCTGTGTCAGCCAGGTCCCAGACAGCCTTTTTGAATGCAGGTCACTATGACTTTGTCTGGAAACGGGTCGGTCTGCGAATGTCACTCCGTGCCGTTGCGTGGTCTTGCCAGGCGATGGATTCCCGTATTCTCCAGCTCCGCAGAACACAAACGTCCGTGGTAAACCGGCACCGCGACGACCGCACCTTTCCAGTGATGGGCAAGCGAAGCTGAGCGGGAAATCGGTCCGGGATCTGTAGACCGTGAGCATTGCCACGTGTGTGGGACTGTAGACACTGCATCACAAAGCGAGCTAAAGTGAGCTGCGTCCAGCATAGGCCGCAGGCAGGCGATTTCACCCACGCTTTCGTGGCATAAATGTGAGCAGCCCACTCCGCTAGCACGCGGCGTCCATCGAGAGCCCATACGCTGAGGTGAGGTGAGTTGGGTAGGGTGGCAGGTGACGCGTGGTGCCAGGTGACTGGGCTTCCAGAGCGGCGCGAGGTCCCGACGAGCGCTGTGGCGACCCTGCCGTCCGTTGGAAGTCTGATTACACACTCCTGGGGCTGCGGAAGCCTACGACGAATCGAACGCCCGCCCGGCCCGGCCGCATGTGGAATGCGTGCGATGTGAAAAGCCGTACGTAGCACGCGCGTGATACGTAGCTGAATGCGGTGTTTTTCACTGTACCTGGTCGGACCTGCGGTATTTTACTCATCTCCGGCCACACGACTTTACCTGGAGGTACCCTCCTGCCAGGGACGTACCTGGGTGCTTCTTGTACTTCCTGCACAGGGCATACCTGGGTGCTTCTTGTACCTCCTGCACAGGGGCGTACCTGGGTGCTTCTTGTACTCCTGCACAGGGCATACCTGGGTGCTTCTTGTACCTCCTGCACAGGGCATACCTGGGTGCTCTTGTACTCCTGCACAGGGGCATACCTGGGTGCTTCTTGTACCTCCTGCACAGGGACGTACCTGGGTGCTTCTTGTACCTCCTGCACAGGGGCATACCTGGGTGCTTCTTGTACCTCCTGCACAGGGGCGTACCTGGGTGCTTCTTGTACCTCCTGCACAGGGGCATACCTGGGTGCTTCTTGTACCTGCTATACCCGGGCGTAACCATAGATCCCTGCGCAGCAGCGTTGTCGGCATCTAGCGTCTGATCCTCTGGAAGCAAATAGGCGGTGGGTGACAGCTGTGATCATTCGGCCCAGCACCGGGCTCACCACGGACAGCGGACAGCATCCAGTAGCGTCTCTGATCTCTGCGGTAATCGCCCCGGGCTCTATGGCGATCAGGCTCGCGCTGGGCAGGCTGAGGAGTTCCTTCCCTCCAGATGTGGCCGGTGCGACGGCCTGTGTGGACGGCAGCGGGCCGGCGGGGGCTGCATTCTGCCAGCCGCGAGTGAGTCTGAACCGTAAGGGACCAGAGCAAAATTGGTATAATGTTCCAGCCAGCTCGTCGGCGGCGACATCGCAGCGACCGGCCGGCGGAATAGCCCCAACTGGACAAGTAGCTCTCTGCGGACGTATGTGCCGCCGCAGTCTGTGGGCAGCGGCCGCCGGCGTGGAAGAGCTTGTGGTCTGTCTGCGGCGGCAGCTGAGGCTGGCCGACCGCCGGCGGGCACGACCCTACACCGCGCCGGAGCCGGAGGGGGCGGGCCCGACGCCATCTGGCGGGACACCGGCCAGCCGGACGCCTCCCGACCGCCGTAATAACAGACTCGGCACGGGCGGGCTCGCGGCCGGACCGGGCGGTTGTCCACTCCACCGACACCCGCCGAGAGCCGGCGGCTGCGACCGGCGGCATCTCGGCGTGGGTCGCCCGCCGCGGACGTGACGCCCGCTAGCCGCGAGGAACCCCGCGCTGCCGGCCAGGCCGCTGCGGCGGACGCCGGCGCGCGACAGCAGCTGGCCTGGTCCACTCCCCCGGCGCGTCATCCGAACATCGATTCACACCGGTGACCTGCCGACGTCACGGCGCCTGTCCCCTGCTGCCGGCGATTTCGATAATCCGATCAGGCATTGTCGGCGGCTCAGCCTCTCCAATAACTACGGCGCGCCACCTTTGTCGGCGCCACCCCAATGTCAGCCTACCTAATGAACAGGTCGATGGAGGACCAACGACAATCCCATCAGCCGGGATAATATAGCCCGGAGAGTGACAATGGAGCGCGACTATCTGCAGCCAGCAGCCGGCTGCCGCTGCGCCGTTCGTGTCGCTGCGTCTGTTGATGGGACGGGCGTTTTGGTGATGGGACCCAGCCGTGGGACCGCGGACATCCCATCACCGCCACCGAGGGAGCGGCCGACTATCTAGATGTGCGCCATATGGAAAAACCAGAGATAACGGCAAAGTGGCCCGCAGAATATTTGACATTACCGTCACCTAGAACTAATGTTGTGCGATTGGTGTGAGTTATGAGCGTGTTTGCAGCAAATGTTCTGGTAAACAACCTAACTCTCAGCTAACCAAAAGATGAAAGTAGTTTATAAACTGTTTGTTTTCAAGATTCTCCACTCAACTTGTGCATCAGTACGAAACTAAGCGGAAAACTTTCACCATTTTGATAGCAAACTGTTTTCCTCCAGCTCAACAGGGGTTAAGGAATGTACCAGCATTGTCACATCGGTCAACCCCCACACACTGCATCAAGTCACCCCCGCCCAGCATAACGTTGTCCGCGTGCGGACGAAACAGACCCTTCTTCGCCTATCTGGCCGCGATGTGGTGTTAACATGGATGTCTTCAGCGCACGTAATCGCGGCCTGCTTGGAAATCACTGAACTCACGCACGGAGCGACCAGACATGAGCGAAACTCCTGATTGGCCAGGACGTGACCGGACTGCGTGGCCGCGGGGCTAATAGTGTCTGACCTAATCAGGCGATGACGACATTCTGGCTGACAAGGGACAGGGAGCTTGGGTAGAGCACACAGGGCAGGTAAGAGAGAGAGGGGTCTCAGCCTGAACGCAGGGAAGGAGACAGAGAAACGGTAGTAGAATGTAGGGACGCGAGCTGGAGAGAGAATGAAAAATAGAGAATAAAAAATGAGTAATAGAAAAATAGGCGTGGAAAGGGAGAAGGAAAATATGTAGAGAAGAACAGGTCAGATCAGAGAACAAGAGAGCGGTATTTAATAGCAGACCGGTGAGACAGACAGGTCCTCGCGGTCTGGCTACAGTATCAGCTTAGTGCCGCCTGAACAAACCACGGCGTGGAAGCCAGACTGCCTTTCAGGCTCCTGCGCCCAGTCCCGCCAGCCATCGAATGACCTCGCAAATTGTGGTTCAGCTCAGAGCACCGCTGACTCTCGCCGAGGCGGTGTCGAGATCTGTACAACAGACAACTGTGTGCAGATGGCTCACTCCCGCCCAACGCTCAGCGGCTTCCCGTTCATCACAGAGCCTGCGACTCTGATCTCAGTTTTGTCGAAGTCTGGGACATTCAGCTTCTGCGAAAGACGATCTTCTGCTGGTATTTTCAACACAAGTCGTTGCTATTCCCTTACAGGAACCGCACAAAGACTGTCAGATACTGCGTCCTTGTATTTGTAAAACGCTCTGGATTATTAGCGCATGTGTTGATTGATACACACTGAAATGCTGGCTGGCTCGCAGTAATTCTCCAGTACTTTGTCCAATGATGTCTGACCCGGCCAATCACTGTGGAAACATTCCCCAATCTCGCCCGTGACAATACAAGATATAGAGGGCATCGCTCATCTGCGTAACATCAGAAATTGCCGGCCAGCACTGCCAGCGGGCGTCACGCAAAATCGCGGCGCGGCCGGTGATGAAGCTGCGGCCCCCTTATTATTGTTTCGAAATGGTAACGTGTTATTTGTCATACAGCTATCACGAGAACAAACTGCTGTAGCTGAGAGAGTGTGTACATTTGTGAGAATTAGAGCAGAAATAAAATACGGCCAAGAGCTGCGACTATTATAAACAATTAAGTGTGCGAAGTGTTTTTAAATATCTGGGCATTGAAGTGTCAGCG